TAGGGAGCTAATAACCCAAAAATGTCAGGGCTTCCGGCTTCTCCAGACCTTGAGGTGCCCTAGGGATAGACAGTGGGTGGGTCTCAGTAGTGACCTGTCCCTCGAGGTAGAGAGGCCCACGGGTGAATATAAAATAGAGACCGAAGCCAGAGCCTCGAGAGTAAGGAATTGAAACCAGGCATCCAAGCTTCACTTTGTCCGTCCTTTAGCTGGGTCAGGAGTGACCAGGTGTCTGAATGCTACTGGGGAAACTGAGGTCCCCTTTGGGGGTTCTAAGTCTCATTAATAAAAGAATGTAGAAACAGAATGTGGACTACCCTGTAGTTGGGGTCCTGGATGGAATTAAACGGAGTATGCGATCTGAGCACCTTGGTCGTCTCTGCTTCCCGACTAAGAACGCAATGGGACCGGCTGCCTCACAATCCTGGCGCTGCTAAGCCAGGAGCCGAAAGAAACCTGTCTTCCTTTAAGCTGATGTCGCCAAGTATTTTATCACAGCGAAGGCGAGGGGCTATTTATTTGCCCCTGCCTCCTGGAATCCGTGCATTTTCCTTTTCTGGGACTAGACGATAGCCGTAACCGGGTATAGCGATCCCTTCACTTCCAATTTTAAAATTCCATTTAATCGCCCCCACCCCCGAAAGAAAAACTGCAGGGTCTCACCCTAAACCTTGCAGGGCGCTTGTCCTAAACCTGGCAGGGCACTTGCCTTAAACCATGCAGGGCGCTCATCCTAAACCATGCAGGGCCCTCGTCCTAAACCATGCAGGGCCCTCGTCCTAAACCATGCAGGGCCCTCGTCCTAAACCAAGCAGGGCCCTCGTCCTAAACCATGCAAGCAGTCTGTCCTGTAAGTGCATCTCTCAAAGATGCTGCTGCCCTGAGTCCTAAAGCAAAACGCAGTCAAGGTCACACACCCACCACTTGTGACATTCACAGGGCCCTTCATCTGACCACAGACCTCCTCACCCTCACTCTGGCCCTAGAGCTGCCACCAGCCTCCAACGACAGGGGTAGGATGGCACAAAGCCCTGTCTGCTTGTATTCAGGAGCATTTAAGAATCTCCACCCCCACCCCCGCTAACCATCAACCAGCGTGCTGGACCTAGAACTACTTAACATTCTAAAAAGAAAAAATACAGGACATAGTCGAGCAACCCAGATCCCTGCCTGAAAAAGTGTGGCTGACCCCGTGACCCCGAAAACAGGTGGTGCACACCTATTAGCCCAAGACTGGAGTGGCTGCGGCTGGAGAATCACAAATCTGACACCGATCTGGCTATAGAACAAGACGTTGTCTCAAACAAAACGTGAAGTTAACAAATGCATTGCCTCCTGCCCACCGCAATGCGCCACCAGCAAACTGATCCTAGGATCCACCAGAGGACTCTGCGGCGCCGCCGGTGTGATTCCAAATGCTCGGAGCGCCACCTGCTGCTCAGAATGTGGAAAGTCTGGTTTGTCCTTTCTCTTCAGAATAACAAAATCAGGGTCTCTGCAATTTCTAAGTGGTTTGAGGATGTTTGCTGTCACGATAATCCAAACATAAGTTAACACAAATGCATGCCAAGTTATAAGATCAATAATGGGATAGAACTAGGTCCCATTGTCAGGTTTATTTTGCATCTCAGGAGAAGCTGGGAGATTCTGCCAGAGGTGAGCTAGCATCTTAAAGGAACCCCGAGGATTCAGGTACAAGTTGCACATATTATAGAAAGGGTTGTAAGAACGGAGCCAAAGTGTATCATCCATGTTGCACACATATCTAGTTCAGAAGGACCTGGGACAGAATAGTCAGGGTCATGTTCACCACGCAAAAGACGTAAGAGCACAAACCACCACCCAGTTCATTGAGCTGGCATGGATCATAGATGTGACTTTGTGTGAAGCTAATTTGTGATTTTCTCTTGTCCATGGGTGACAGGGCTAAGAAATGTGCACCTGATGCCTGGCAGTGGTGGCACACACGCCTTTAATCCAGCACTTGGGAAGCAGAGGCAGATGGATCTCTACGAGTTCGAGGTCAACCTGGTCTACAAAGCGAGTTCCAGGACAGCCAGGGTTACTCTGTGAAACCCGGTCTCAAAACACCAAACAACAACAACAACAACAAATGCAAGAAAGAAAAGAAATGTGTCTCTGGTATTGCTGCAATATTTAACATTGCAGTTTAATGTTTAACATACATTTACAATGTACAAGATGGTTTCATTCTTCCTGGTTTGTTCCCCTGTCCCTCTGGCTCTATGCGTCTCTCTCTCTCTCTCTCTCTCTCTCTCCTCTCTCTCTCTCTCTCTCCCTCACTGTTGTGCAGCCATTTCCTCTGAATTGAAACAATCCGCCTAGGGGCCAGAAATCCTACAACATTCTGTCTCTATGTCTCTGTCTCTCTCCCTCTATTGCTGTGTGTTCACTCTCTGTTTCTCTCCCTCTCTCTGTCTCTGTGCGTGTCTCTCTCTGTCTCTGTCTCTCTTTGTCTCTCTCTCACACACACACACACTGCTATTTGGTGGGTGCTTGGATGGATGGATGGGTAGATGAATAGATGAGGTCCATATAGAGGAATCTTGGTTCTTGTTGCTGTGATTTTAGAAAACAAAATGCCCTGATAAGAGCAACGCAAGGGGAACCCGGGTTATTTTAGCTCCCAGGTCAAGGCACAGGCCATCATGGTGGGAAAGTCAAAGCAGCAGCATCTTAAAGCAGGCGCCCATCCCACACCCACAGTCAGGACAGAGAGGGACAGGTGCCGCCACTCGGGTCTTCTTCTCCCATTTCACATCCCAGGATCCCAACCAGGGAACTAGTGCTGCCCACAGTGGGTGGATCTCCTCACCTCAACTGATTATCACGATAACCCACCCACAAGAATGCCCAGAGGCCATCTCCAGATGAAACTAGGGTCTGTTAATTGGCAATCAACATTAATCATCCTCAATGGTTTACTAGACTTTCTTTCTCCAAAGGAAGTGCTTACATGACTCACCATTAGTCTGCTGGGGTTGATTATGCTGTGTCTCATGACAAAAAATCCAAGTTTCCATGGCTCATAATCACAACCCTCTGTTGCTCTCTTCAGTCATTCGGAAGGTCAGATGAAGCCACTCCATTCCTGTGTATGGGCCAGCTTCTGGTCCCTCTCAGGGGTCTGTCTTCTTTAACTGGGAATTCCCAGGGCATTCTCTTTTTGTGGCAGGTGGAAGCAGAACTGGGACCAAGCTGGACAGGCAAATAAACCTATAGCTGCTGGCCACTGACTTAGGTGCTCGAATCCCATTGGTAAATCAAAGCATATGATTACCCACTTGTGGCAGGAAGAGGTGGTCTCCCAGAAGCTAAAGGAATCTGGAACAAAGATGTGGCAAGACAGGTAGGATGCAGATAAATCATAGACTACCACAGATTAAAATTGGGTGGTAGGGTTGGTTGGTTTTTTTTTTTGGTTTTTTGTAAATTTTATTTATTTACTATGCATACAATATTCTGTGTGTCTGCCTGCAGGCCAGAAGAGGACACCAGACCTCATTACAGATGGTTGTGAGCCACCATGTGGTTGCTGGGAATTGAACTCAGGACCTTTGGAAGAGCAGGCAATGCTCTTAACCTCTGAGCTATCTCTCCAGCCCCTTGGTTGGTTGGTTGGTTGGTTGGTTGGTTGGTTGGTCTCCAGCCCCTTGGTTGGTTGGTTGGTTGGTTGGTTGGTTGGTCTCCAGCCCCTTGGTTGGTTGGTTGGTTGAGACTGAGTCACATGGATGTCCCTAAGCTGACAGCTCCAAGCTCCCTGATGCTTATATTGTTTTCACAGCTAAAGAGGCTGACTGGTGTTGGCAGCAGGTCAGGGGCATGGACCCTTTCCATTGGGGAGTGATATTGGAGGTGTGGTGGGTAGAGAAGATTGGGGTTCCTATTTTCACCCCGTAAGTGTCACCCTGACTTCTGTTCCTCATCTGGGTCACACCCTACCAGCTGCTATTTCAAAGTGACACTCAGGTGAGGGGGTCCTGGATGTGGGCTGTCCTGCCGTGTGTAAGGGGAGGGAGGAACGAGAGTGCCCTCCGAGGCAGGTGACTGCTGGGCTTAGACAGTGGTGATTCCCAGGGAGAAGACCTGGGCATGTGGTCAGACAAGCACTTGAGAAGTGAGCCATGGAGATGTGTGTCCAAGAGGACAGCTGCTGGTCCTACTCTGTAATCCCAGCACGGGGAGACTGAAATAGCAGGGTCATCACGAGTGGAGGCCAGTCTGGGCTAGACAGTGGGTTCCAAGTCAGCCTGGGCTACAGAGTAGAGACTTTGTCTCTAAAGGAAAGGAAAAGAGATAGAGACACTGAAAGAGAAGAGGCAAAAGACAAGGAAGGAGACAAGAAAGGGGAGGGTGGAAGAGATGTTAGGGAAAAAAGCAGAAGAGAAAAATAAAGGAAAGAAGGAAGGAGAGGTGGGAAGTGAAGAGGAAAAGGAAAGAGTATGAAGCCAGAAAGTGTGGTTCACCTTACAGGAGATAAATTGGCCCCTTGCTTGTCAAAGGGACAGTCAAACTGAGAAAAGCCTGGTGTTCAACCCTTGAGCAGTGCTTATGGGGCTGAGAGAGTCTGGCCATGCAGTTCAAAGTGTCCACCTGGCAGGCACAGAGCCAAAGCCATTTGATCCCAGGCAAATCCACTCTGCTGGCTTTGCTCAGCCTTCTATCATCTCCTAAAGATGAGTTCCCCTTTAGGGGAGCTTTGAAGCCAGGGGCACAGCGAAAGGAATCACTCTCTTGAGGCTGCAGGCTGTAGGAGAATGTTCTTGTACACTGTAAAGATTTGTCACTTGTATTGGTTTTAATAAACCACTGATTGGTCAGTAGCCAGGGCAACCAGACTAGGAGAATTCTGGGAAGAAGAAAGAGACACAGTTGCAGGCCAGATGCAGAGGAAACAAGACAAGAATGCTTTATTACTGGGAAAAGGTACCAAGCCACATGGGTAAGCACGGAGAAGAATTATGGGTGAATTTAAGTCATAAGAGCTAATTAATAATAAACCTGAGCTAATAAAACAAAAAGTTTATGATTAATATAAGCCTTTGTGTGTTTATTTGGAACTGAACAGCTGCAGAACCGGGTAGGACAGAAACTTGCGTCTACAGCTGAAGGTTTGACTTCGGGTGTTTGCTGATAGAAACAGATTCACAGGCTCCAAAGCTACAGAGAAACCCTGTCTCAAAAAAAAAAAAAGTTTTTGCTTCTTTTCTGAAAGAGTACAAAAGTAAGGACCAGCCAGGGACCACAGCTGGGAAGAGCTGAGCCCCACAGGGGTGCAGAGACGATATACGTCTGTGCTGTGTGCCAAAGTCTCCTCTGTTGTGATTTTTCAAGTCTTTTGACCACGCCTCTGCCACCATAGGGTTCAGTGTAATCCAGCAGGTGACCCGAGATGATGACTCAATCTGTAAGGCCCTTACCTTGCAAGCCTGAGATCCTAACCTCAATGCCTGTGTGAAAGCTGGGCGATGGAGTGTTGTGATCTCACTGCCTGGGGCTCACTGACTAGCCAGCCTACCCTCTTTGGTGATTTCTGGGCCAGTGTCTCAAAACACAGGATGGATGAGAAACAGCACCTAAGGGTGCCCTCGGCCCCCACATACTTGTGCGCCAGCACACACGGGAACACACACCACCTGCTGTGTGTGACTGAGGTGAGGCCCATTACCTCTATCTGCAATTACCCACGTCACAGACCGCAGCCTGGTCATCTTCATGATACAGGAAACATGGGTTCTAGAACTTCAGGGCCTTCAGGGCCAGCCTGTGCCTCTCTGGTAATGGGGTAGTAATTCCTGGTTTCTCCTCGCCCAGTTCCTCCTCCTCTCCATCCCTAGAGGGGAATCAATGCTTCAGCTCCTCAGTGAAAGGAATGCAACAAGAGCAGAAGGGAGGGACAAGAGCAGGGTGGGTATTGTCAACAAGAAAAACATACAGCTCTTGCTCCAAAAAGAATAAGAAATTATTTATTCTGAGCCAAACATGAGTGATCACGGCCTGGTAACACACATTCATGTTGCCCTAAATGATAAACCATCCTGGAAATTGTTACATGATTTTTTTTATTATCACCAAATAAAACAAAGTCACAAATCAATAAATTTACCAAATATACTGGTGATAGAATTAGGTAGGTGGCTGATGGCAAGGCAGGGATGTCTTTTTGGTGGGCTCTGGATGCTGTTCCATCTTAGTTTGGGAGTTAGAAGCTCGCAGTAGGTTGAGTTAGTACTTTCTAACAGCTTTATCTGTTAGGTCAGATATACAATTTGGTGACACATAACTATTAAGGGGAATAAAGATAACCCAAGATAATTTTTGGCTCTTAGTCTGTACATTCCAATTCTCCATAATCATGAAATTCTAACCAATCAGCCTGCAGATGCTTCCCAAAAAAGTGCTGGGTTTTTTTTTTTTTCATGGAATTTCAGCTCATAGAACCACACTTACTGACTGGTCTCTGCTGTTCCGAGACGAAAACAAGATTTTCCCACAACTGTCAAAGGTTAAAACACAGCTGTGTTGGACTCTATTCCCCAGCTCTCTCCCCACCACCACCACCACCACTACTGAACAGGGCAGTTCTTTCTCTATTCCTCAGAGTACGCTTTATTGAAGTAGAAAAGCCAGGATTTGCCTTATTCGTCATATGGGGGGAGCTCTCACAATGGAAAGCACACTCAGGTAGCCCGCTATGAACTTGACTACAAGGAGAAAACAGGACTCATTGTTATTATCAAAATTCTTCACTCATGGCAATTCTTACCCAAAAAGTATTAAAGATTTTAGATATACAAATCTAAAAATATCATACAGCAATTAACAGTAGGACTTGCTTTTAAACCACTCTTTAAAATATGCCAGGTGTCTCTTCTCTTTCTCTAGTCTAGGAGAGGGAGCTTGCATGGTCTTCTTGTAGACGCCCGCCCTCTTCTGTGTCATCAAGGAGAGAAGGTTGGCCTGGTGCCCCAGACAGGACTATGACACCTGCCCTGCAACCTTCCTGTGTTGGCTCTGGAAGCGACCCTCGCTGCTGGGGGACTCGTCCTTCTGTGGGTTCACTGTGCTGTGTCCAGCCATCTCAATCCAGGGATGCTGAAGGACCTGGTGGGCTGTGTACCGCTTCTTGGGGTCCACCACCAGCAAATGTCTCACCAGATCTTTGGCAGCTGTGGAAAGCAGAGAAATTGGGGAAAGAGTGATAGATACAGGTGGCTTTATGGTATTCTTTCCTTCCAAGCCATGAAGTGGAAGAGCACACATCCACATCAGCACCATGGGAATGCTAGCAAGCTTTCCTTGTTTGGAATAGAAGTACAGGAGTTGGAAACATCCCAGACATGTTCCAACCTCTCATAACCCCGAGCACTAGAGATGAAGTTAAAGCTAAAGTAGGAGGATGGAGCACTGGAGTCTGAGCTAGCCCTGGCAAGCTACATAGTGAGTTCCCAGATAGTCTGAGCTAGCCCTGGCGAGCTACATAGTGACTTCCCAGATAGTCTGGGCTGCAGAGTGAGGTCCTGTCTGACAAAACATAATTTAAATAAAAGAAAAAGAAATGAAGTAAAGAACAGGAAAAAGAGAAAGGGGAAGGAAATAAGAGCCAGGGGAGGAAAGAGGAGGAAAAGGAGGAGAAAAGGGGAGGGGAGAGGAGTGGAGGGGAGGGGAGGGAAGGGGAGGGGAGGGGAGTGGAAGAGAGGATAAAAAACTGCAGACAAAAGGAAAAGTAGGGGAGGAAAGAAAGAGGAAAGGGAAGGGAAGAGGAAATGGGAAAGAAAGAACAGGGGAAGAGAGATCCGGCCAGTGGTGTTGAATAAATGAAACCTTACTTTATTGACCCTGGAATAATTCATTTAGAATTAGCCAAGGGTGAGCACAGCTAGATAGCACAGCTGTAGCAGACAGCTGCTTGCTTTTTCCAGGCCCACTCCTGACACCCATACACCCAGGTCAAGGAAACAGAGTGGGCACCACATCTACACACTTTAAATTTTTATATCAAACTAACCAAGTTTTAAATAAAACATGTTCCCTTTTCCTAAGCTGATAAATATTTCTGCTTACTGACAAAACTGAAAACCATGCAAAGAAACCTAAGCATCCGTTAACACTAACTCAACTGAATTTCACTTTCCACTCAAGTCCATGCTGAGCCTAGAGAGATGGGGACTCTGTTGGAAGTCAGACCCCACCTCCTACCCCACCCCTACTCCCTTATCTCCCACCTCCCACCCCACACCCACACCCATACCCATACCCCCACCTCCCACCCCACACCCATGCCCATACCCTTCCACCTCCCACCCAACTCCCACCCCACCTCTTTATCCCCAACACCCCTTACCCCCCCCCAGGGGCTACAAGGGAAAAGCCTCACAGATCTGGTCCTGCCCCACTGCAATCTCCTGTGGATGACTGACAGTCCACATCCAGCTGCTATAAAGAGACTCCCTGCAGCTGCAACCCTCTGTCCTCACTAAGAGAGCCTAGCCCCTTCTCCCCTGCCTGGGAATCAGAGGCAACAGGAATGTAGGCACATAGCATAGCTTACATATTAACTAAGCCTGCTTCCATAGGGTCCAGAGCCACTACTATCCCCCACCCCTCTCAGAAATCTTTAAATAAAGAGACCTCCTTTGTCTGGTAGAACTTGAAGACTTGCTTCAGCCCTCCACCGGGCCATGCTCGTTCGTCTGTGGCTCCCTTGAGGGACACTCAATTTAGCTTCACTCTCAAACCTACCCACTTCTCTCTCCCCTCCAAACCTAACTGGTAGGTGATGTGAGATTCTCCTCTGTATGCTGTGAATACCACTGGTTAATAAAGAAACTGGACTGGCCTGATAGTGTAGAACAGAGCTAGGCAGGGAAAACTAAACTGAATGCTGGGAGAAAGGAGGTGGAGTCAGGGGAAGCCATGGAGCTAGGTCTGTAATGGTGGCAGCTACTGATATCTCCTAGCAGGGAAAGGAGCCACAGTTGATAGTCCAGCCATTATTCCCTTCTTCTTTCCCTTGACTATGAGTGATCTTGGGAGGTGCTGGAGTATATGAAAAATGGATGCTGACAGCAGAGGTGGTCCCATAATCCACAGGCCATCATCCATGATGGGGTGGAACTATGCAGCTGTGTTTGGGCCACACTTGTTCCTGTACATCACTCTTCATGCCTACTATGAAAGTAAATTCAACAAACTCACTGGTTCCCCAAGTGGCACTTTTGGGAATTGCAGCTTTGGTCAATGCTTGTTCATGCTTACTGTATAGGCTGCACTATACGCCACATTGTTGAAGACAATGGCTTTCCAGACTTTCCTTGCCTTGAGAGGCTCCATTCTATAAGTAGATTTTGACTCCATGGGAACGGGGCTGGACACCTGGGTTAACACATGACTGGAACAGTCCATCCATCCTGAGGAAGGGGGTGGACACGTGACTTGGTCAGTCCATCCATCCTGAGGATGGGGGAGGACACGTGACTGGGACAGTCCATCCATCCTGAGGATAGAGGGGGCTGAGTACCTGGGTGAACAGATGACTAGGACTGTCCACCCGGTAGCACTTACAAGGCTCAGCCTATACTGTATTCCCCGAGAGTAGAAAAGTTACCACTTACAAATGTATTGGAGTGGATTGAGGCCGTAGGGGAACATGGGCCCCAGGCCCAAGAACTTAAACACACCAGACTAAGAAAAGGGTGCAATACCCTGACTTAAACCCAGAAAGAGGACACCCAGCACTGCACTGGCAAGAATCCCCATCAACCTGTGATACCTGGTATATGAATCAAGGACCAACAGGCAGAGTACTCCCAGGTGTCCCTGGGGTTTCAGTTCAGCTCCGTCCCCACTGCTGATCCAGCCTACCCAACTGTTACAAACCTGTGGCGGCATTTCAATTGTATTTTAATAAAGACTGTCTGAAGATCTGAGAGTAAAACAGCCTTACAGACCAGGTTATGGCAACACACACCTTTAATCCCAGTAGCCACACTAGTTGCCATAGAAATCGGGTGGTGCACGCCTTTAATCCCAGTCCTAGAGAGGAATATTAAACAGGAGGAAACAGCTCTCAACACGCAGCCTCATTCTGAGATTCCAGGAGGCAGGATCGCCGTTTCAGACTGAGGTCGAGGTAAGAGCCAGTGGCTGGCTGTTTTGCTTTTCAGGCCTTCAGGTTGAACCCCAGTTTCTCTCTCTGAGTTTTCATTAATCATGCTTCACAAACCCATCCTCCTGATTCCCTGTCTGGCCCTGACACCCACCTGCTTGCCAGCTCTGGCAACAGACCTAAGCCTGTCCTTTAAACTCTCAGCCAAACTCAACCCTGCCACTCCACTCTCAAACCCCGTGAGTGACGGCAGCCTGGCTGACAATGGCAGTGGGTGGCATGGCCTGGGCACTGGCAACCTTGCAACTGCCTCTAATGTGGGGTCCTTATCTTCTCAGTGTAGAGTCTACTAAATTTCTTTCTGTCTGCCTCTGAAACCTCTTGAAATTCTGCTGCAACCCTTTTCGGCCTTTTGTATCTATTCAATAGTATGCATGTGCACGTGTGTGTGCACGTGTGTGTGTATGCATGTTTATCCTGTGACATATGATGTAAGAGCTAATAGTAGTAATTAAGACTGTAATAAAAGAACCTGTATTAACATTGGTCCAATTATCAATCTGGCAAATTGCTACCATTAACATTATTTTATGAATTTATTGTTACTCAATAAGTTCTGCCTTCGTGGAGAGAGACACAGGTGTATGCATTTATCTATGCTGCTGACATAGCCTTCTCGGGACAACGTCTTTCCCGGGAAAAGCTAATACAACACACCCAGGAGAATCCACAGACTGGAGGGCCCCATCTCAACTGAGAGCCCTCCCAGTCGCTCATCTATGCATGAGGACAGTTGATACATGACACGAAGCTTCACCCACACCCTCCAAACACCTCTCCAGGCCACTCTCTGAAAGAGTAAGAAGAGACCCACGGCCCTCGGTCCCATCACAGGGAGCCCCCAAGTCTCACCATCAGAGATGCTGTCCCAGTAAGGAGCGAGGAACTCGAACTGGCCCAGTTGGATGATGTTGAAGAGCTCATCCTGGTCCCTCTCGGGACTTCGGAAAGGCGGGAAGCCACACAAGAGGATGTAGAGGATCACACCGGCAGCCCACATGTCTACCTCTAGGCCATAACCTGCAGGAACACAACAGCAGGAAACCCCGGACAGGAGGGTCAAGGGTGACAAACTCTGTCTCTTAGCCTGTGCAGCAACAGCAACAAAAGCAAAAACTCTTGCTCCCTTAAGCTGCCTTTGCCGGATATTTTGTCACAATGAAAAGAAGTAGTAAATATGACCACTGATTGTAATATGACTTATTGGAGATGAGATGATGTGCAAAGTAGTTGTCCTCGTTAGAGTTAACTGTCAACTTTTACATAGCCTACAGTTCCCTGAGAAGTTGAACATAGCCTGTAATCAGTATCTATAGAGAATCATCTTGATTAGTAATTGATGCGGATAAAAGGGCAAGCCCACTATGGGCAGTACCATCCCTAGGCTTGAGCTGAATAAGAAAGCTAGTTACCCTTGAACCTTTTGAGCAGGCCATCAAGCATCATTCTGCCTTGGCTTCTATTGCTTTCCTGGTTGCAAGGTCCCTGGTTGGAATAGCAAGCAGTCTGCCTTCAGGTTCCTGCCTTGCAAACCCACCCTGATGTCCCTAAGTGATTGAGAGTGACCTGGAAGTGCAAGATGAAAGAATTCTTTTCCTCCCCTAAGTGGCCTTTTTGGTCATGGTGTTTGCCCCAGGAGCAAAACGGAACTAGAACAGTGATGCCCTGTCAAGGCTTTTATGTACCTCACTTATCCGCCCACAAACGGGCGTGGACACATTTTCAAGTACTTTCTGACTTTAGGAAATGAACACAACTGGTAGCTTTAAATGGACATTAGAAGTTCATTTCCTAAGTTCAGAGCAAGATTATCAAGATACAAATCAATAAGAGACTAAAGAGAATAAAAGTCCTGATGGCCCTTTGGGGGCCAGCTCAAGGATGATTGTTAACTCTCAGGGGACAGAGTCTTCTGCCTGCCCTTCTCTTACAGCTTTCCCTTGGCTTCTACAACTTGTTCTTTCCTAACCCAGTTCCATCTTCCATGTAGCCCAGCCCCTACTGACTGCCTTCTCTCCTGCAGGCAGGACTCATGACTTGTCTGAGTTTAACTGTCCTTGTCCTGGCATCATTGCAGAGCCACCAGCCCACCAGTTTAGCCATCAGACTGAAGAGCCAATACAACACATTTATACATTTATCCAGAACTTCCCATCCTTGCCAACAGGACAACAGTGTGGGTCTATACTGATATCTTTCTCTATACCAATGTCTCTAAAGTGATGTAATCTATACTGATAGCTCTATACTGGTGTCTATCTATTAATGTCTCTAAACTGATGTAGTCTATACTGGTATACTGATGTCTCTATTCTAATGAGGGTCTCTATTGTTTTAGTTGGTGTGCTTTCCCTATAAGCATATGCTAATCTGATTTGTCTCTCATCTAATTCATCTTTGCTATCAGTGTTCTCTAATATCACTATTACCACATTTCAGTGGCCATGACACCTGTTACTCAAAATCTAAACATTTCTTGTTTGGGATATCTGCATGACTCTCTACATCCAGTAAGACTAGGCTTCTCAAGTCTACACACACACACACCCCAGCCTCACACATGCTCTGTGTCGTCCTCACAGCTTCCAGGTTCCTGTGTTGATGAGGAGCTACCCATCCAACATGTCTTCCACCTGTGACCAAGCTTTCAACTCGCCCAGAGCCTCTCTCGGCCAGGAGGTAAATTCGCTTCACAATGCAACAACTGTCAGGCTATCTGCCATATATTTTCTGTTTATATGCTCTGCAAAGTATGTTGCCAAAGTAGTTCATTTGATCCTCACAAATGAGGAATGAATATTCATGGAGTTTGATATGAGATCCCTTTTGCCTTTAGATGGAGGTTAGTGGAGGAATTTTTTACCATTTAGCATAAGAAATGTTTCCACTTTTCTCCCCTAGTGGTATACCTGGGTACAAATGGCCTTCTCTGAGCAGATTCTCTCCTTGTTCTCTTTTATTTCATTGTCCTGCCTACACACACACATACACATACACACACACACACACACACACACACACACACACACATGCAACACACATAAATAAATTTTTTAGCAAGCATGAGTTTCAACTGAGAATTTTTTAACTGCTCTTTGTTGGAAAACACTAAGAAAAGCATTTGTTGGTTGTTGAGCTTGAGTATCAAAGAGCAGAGAGAAATACTTACCTTTCTCAGAAAGAATTTCAGGAGCTACATATGTGGGCGTCCCACACACAGTAAATATAGGCCTCACCACGTGTTTAGCCAGACCAAAATCAGCCAGCTTCAAGGTGGTAGTCTTGTCTTCATTTCGCTGAACCTACAAGGAATCAAAACGTCCAAACCATCAAACTGCAATTGAGACAAAGAGGGATTTTGACACAGTGTGCGTGTGCAACCAGGTCAGAGCAGCAATAACTCATGGAAGCTTATGGGGAATCCCAGGACAGCCACATCTAGCTGAACCTCAATGCAACCGCTCACATTTTCAACCAAAGAACCAGATTTGGGTTCACTGTGCCATGGAGGACGGCATCATCGCATTATCAGATGAGATGCTCAAATTCATGGATCAAAACCCAGTTTCTCAGCTGCACTGGGCACATGTGTATGTCCAACAGCCTCCTGCAAGTTGGACACCATGCTGGGCAGTGTAGATGGACACTATTTCTGTGGGACAGCACTGCATTACAAGGATCAGTGATGCTTCGAGCATAAATTATATAAGAACATGAAAAGGTCTGGAGGGGCATTGGGACGGCTCAGTGAGTAAAGGTGCTTGCCATCAAAGCTAATGACCTGAGTTCAATTCTCAAGCCCCACATGGTAGAAAGTGAGAGAAATTGACTCCAGCCTACACATATGATGTGGCACACACTCCCACCCCACTTCAAATAAAGAAATGTATGTTACACTCCACATGGCACAAACCATGAGTGTGCAAACCTAGTACTACCTTCCCACAACTTCAAGATGCACGGTAGAAGCTGGTTCATCTGGACTAAAAATAAGATAACCAGACACAAATTCAAACTCTGGCCTTCCTCAATATTAGTAAGCACATACAAAGATCAACTGTTGCAGAATATTACTTTAACTAGGCAAAGTTGTGTTACATTTGCATTTGCACAATATTACTTTAACTGTGTTTCTTTGGGACCTGAACACAGATCTCCTGTGCTCCTATTAGCACCTATGGGTGGAGCCCAAGGCAGAATGGTGGGTCTCCCTGTGTCTGAGTCATGGTGGCAGCCAGCAGTGTAGGATGGAGCAGTCCTCCCATCTCTCCTTGCTAGGTAGACAGATAGTTGAGGTTTTGAAGAATGCAGCCCTACTCTGTAAAATCTCCTGTTAAACGTGAAACTGAAATGGCAGAATCGTGCCTATGGTTCAGAAGAATGGGACTGAGTGGACTCTCTGGCCTCACAGGTAGCGGCATGACTTTCTGAACCACCCAGAAGATGGTAAAATCATGATATCTAGTCATAAGCTTCCTGACAAAGAATAAGAAAATACTAATGTGGCCTCCCAGAATTCATCCATGGGCCTGCCAATCACCTGGCCAGGAAAACCCTTCAGGGAAAGCTGTCTATTCTAGAGAATTTAGAAATAGGGAAAAGCCTACCTAAGATGTAGGCCATAAAGGTCTGCACAGTGGTCTGTTTGACCATTGTCTACTCTCCCCACTTGGGAGTGTGTCTAACACTGAGTGGCCCTTTGGAGCTCTGGTCTCCTGAAAACATTCCACTTCACTCTGCACAGCCTCAAAATTCTTTCTCTGGAGATTCCAAAGGAGAAGAGAGATCCTGATGACATCCTGATGATATATATTTTCCCACATGTGGTTCCACCAGTGAACTGACATCTCTGCAAGTCATGAGCATCGTGTCTTAGTTGCTGAGTCTGGGTCAAGACTGACAGATGAGAGGAAGCAAGGACAGAGGGAAAGGCTGGAAACCCTTGCCAACAAGGCTGCCATCTGGGAAGAAGCATGCCCAGGAAGAGAGCTCTCCATAGGTCCCGAACTGCCCATCACCGAAGCCATGGAGCTTCTGACTCTTATCCAACTCGGGCTCATTTTCATTCTCTGCAGATTTTCTTCCTTGGTCAGTGCTGGTTCTGTCCCTGTCATGTGTCCTGGGTCTGGATCCTTGTTCTGAGAACCTGGAAATCCCAGTGGGTGCCCTGCAGACCCCCACCTAGGCTGCTACACATCATTGTCTCCTAAACTAACCTGGCCAAGAAGAAACCATAGCTGCAGATCCTAGGACAGTTCTGCCCACCCTACACACAGACAGATGCAGCCTGAAAGAAACAAGAAAATAATTTAGGCTAAAAAATTCTAGTTGGGAAGGAAAGGAAAACAAAATATTGTTGGTGCCTGGAATCACCAGATGGACTGTGTACATTCATCATATTTCCTAGGTAATTGTTGAGAAAAATGTTCCCCTCAAAAATATTTGCAAATATTTCCAGTCAAATGATCAGCATTAAAAGTATCTGGCCAATTAAATAACCAAATAAAATGGGTATCAACAAAATAAAATGGATATAAACAAAATAAAATGGATATCAACAAAATAAAATGGATATCAAAACATAACTGGAAACTCCCAATTCCAAAGCATAGCCCACTGGACCAGTAGAGACCACATGAAATGTTCTGGGAACTCAGACTTTTATTTGAAGTTGCACTATGTTCAGTGTCCTGGCCATGTTCTCAGAACATCACATCAGTTTTCAGATGACTGTATGGGTCTGTCTAAAACATAGCACACGGCTGAGCTTTTCCTGCCTGGAACACAAACCAGTGCTGAGAAGGACCAGTGTGGTTAAGACTCCAGCTTCCACAGTCAGGGTTTCCTCAATAATCCCAAAGCCGTCTATTATTATTTTATTATGTATCTATTTGTGAGAGGTAGTACACGGGCACGTATTGTGTAAATACAAGTATACATGCACACATGAGGACATTGGCTGTCCTCTCTCTCTCTCTCTCTCTCGCCCTCGCTCTTGCTCTCCCCCCCCCCCCCACCTTATTTAATGAAACAGGATCTCTGACTGAACCTGAAGCTTCAGCTAGGCTGGTTGTCCAGCATGTTCCTGGTTCCTACCTGTCTCCATTTTCCTTCACGATGATTACACAGTCATACTCAGATTTCATGTGGGTACCAGGGATTTGAACTCAGATCTTCTTGCTTTCATGGTAAGCACCGTTACCCACTGACCTGTCTCCTCAGACCACTTCAGAGCTGCCATTCACTTCACTATATGAATGGCTTTGTTCCACTCAAGGGTATGCAGCGTGTGAGTGCTTTTTGTTTGGTTTTGTAACAGGTACTTTAATTTTTTGTTTCAGAACATTTCCTGTCTCGCCATCTGGTCAGACCTCCACCCAAATAGGAAATCAATCTAATACATCTTCCTGCCAGATACCTGTTCACCTTAGATCCATCTGTGCTGACCCAGAAGTCCATCCCAACCTGCTTTCTCAATGTCCTTCTCTGGAGTGACAGTGAATGAGAACACATTCCTTCCAAAGATGGGAAGCAAGGAGAAAGACACCCCCCCCACACACACACTCGCCAGCTTGCTTTCTGACTTCTCTAAGCTTGACCCCAGGACTCCTCACAAGTCTTTATGGGACTTGGCTTCTGGTGTAGGAGGTGACACAAGGGGTTCTCATTTGACCAAGCAGCCAAAGACCCCATTAAACGTCCACTTCAATACCTCTGCCTCAAGGCCTTTCTGACTTTCCTGGGTGTGGAAGCCAGCCTGCCCTGAATCACTTGTCCATGTCTCAACTAACCCCTAACCCACATCTCCAGGTTTATCTAAACTCAGTCTTCTGGGCCATGTTCTTGCGGGGCTGGTCCAGGCCCTCTGCCTGCTAGGATGCTCAGAGGCGGCTGCACACAGCATGAATGACTGACCGGGTTGTCTGTGTCTATGTCCTCCTTTCCAACCACACCACAGTGTCCTTCTTTGAACCCAGGTATCTGCACTAGTAATGCAAGCATCAGATGACCACGCTTGTGCCCCCAAAGCCTCACAATCGAAACCTCAAGAGACAAAACATTTAGACAGGGTGTCACGTAGATCAAGCTCTGTAGCTCGGGATGACTTTGAACTTCTGGTTTTCCCACTTCCAGACCCCAAGTGCTAGGATTTATAGGCGTGTACTCCGTGACTAATTAATGCAGGGCTGGGGATCGAACCCAGGGCCTCGTGCGGTCAGCACTCTATCAACTGAGCTACATTCCTCTCCTTCGAGAGATATATTTATTTTTGTAATCAATTCACCTCCACTCTGCATTCCATAGCACATCAATTTAAACATGGTTATACAATCTGACATAGGCACACACATGTCCTCAATCCCAGCACTCAGGAGGATATGGCGTTCCAGCCAGCTTCCACTATACAGCAAAGAATACCCTAGCAAAAAAAAAAAAAAAAAAAAAAAAAAAAAAAAAAAAAAAAAAAAAAAAAACCTGCACTTTTAGTCTCTAAACAGAAGAGGGCAGCAGAGTACAGACCAACAGCAAGGCACCCTTCTTCACTGCTAGGCTTCTAGTAGGTTTGTGTATCTCTGCTAAATTCCTGCTTGAATCTTCATGGTCCTTTGTACATTTTCAACTAATATGGACTGGGACAATCTTAAAAACCACACCATATCAAAATGCCAATGTCGCAGTCTAATTTATGCTGGAACATAAAGGTACCATAATCCTTGAACCATCATCTTTACAGCACACTGTTGACAGTAGCCAGGACATGGAACCAGCCTAGACGCCCATCAGCAGAAGGATGAGTAAGGAGATGTGGCACGTGAACATGATGGAACTCCATGCAGTCATGGAGAAGAATGGTGTCCTGGCAGGTGCAGACAAGAAAAGATTAGAACTGGATATTATTGCGTTAAGCAAAGCTACCTGGACTCAAAAACAAAGGCCACATGTCTTCTCAAACACAGATCCTAAACTATATTTTTATATGTGTGTATATAGAGAGACTGAGTATGGGTCATTCTAGAAAAGAGACCCTTGAGAGGAGGAGAAGGGGCTTCACGGGATGGGGAGCAAGGATGGGGGAGATAAAGAAAGAGTAATAAAATACCCAAGGGGAAGGGATCAGCAAGAGGTAGGCAGAGTTTCGAGGCCAGGGGAAGGATGATGAGCAAAAACAAAGGGTGTGTGAAAATGCCCTAATGAAACTCACCACTTTGTACCCCAATTTGATTTTTTTTTTATCATCTTCTAGCCAGAGAAACAAACTCAGCTTTAATCTGAATGTGTTAGGGAGCACAACAGCCTGGAG